TTATTGTTGTCCTATGAAGATGCCTCTTTATCGAGACATCAATTTGTTTCCTTCGAAATCAGTCTGCCCCTAGGCTAGGTTTATACTGCGTTGATGTCACATCCTGTTAGTCCGCGCGGTAAACATATATAGCCACTGAACACTCGCATCGTATTTAAAAAAACCAAGCTCATTAATTATCTGGGTCTGGCGAATAAAGTTTGAGAAGCTGCTGGTCGATTTGATTGATAAGTTCGTAGTCTCTCTTTGAGGAAAAAACGACGTTATCAACAATGTGTTGTGGTTGCTGACTTGAATCCTATTTTGTTTTATGACTTGTTTTCTTTAAGCCTTTATTTTTTAAAAATCAATTTTACTTTTTCTTACCAGTTTTATACAAAACGCGTCTGTTTACTTTTGATTGGTTAAAAAACAAAAAAACCCTTCTTGAATATTCTGTAACTTAAAAATATTCAAAACTCTGTCAAACCAGCGGGTGTTTGAAATGTTATACAAATTGTCTTATATTGGTAGGAGCTAGTAGTTATTGAAAGATGCTTTCTGGATAAACTCAACTCTTCTTTTTCCGATTATCCCAGTCATTTCCCAAGTCATCAGAAGTTGATGTTTTTTAAAAGTAGGGTATTATTTTTCCGATAAATTTATGTTTTTAAAAAAATTTTCTAAAATGAAGATTGGGGAAAAGAGTACTTTTCGATGACAGGAAATAGACCGGGAAATTTTGATGACGGATAATGGAAGAATGATGGGGTAAATCAGAAAGAAGTAGGTTTGAGTTGAGCTAGAAAGCATCTTTTAATAACTACTTTCGCCGAAAAGCACTTCCGTCAGTTTTTTTTAAGCAACATTCAAAGACGGTAACAGTAATCTGAGGTTACAAATATTTGCCTGCGCTTTGTTTGGGGTTGCTTTGCGCATCATTAATAGGTCTCATCACGCACAGTGCCAGCAGTGCTTTCATTTCACATCCTTCTAGTCGCACTCAAATCCTGCATATCTGTAATGAGTCAGTTTAAAAGGCTCTTAACTCAGAGTGATTTTGCCAGTATCCCTTATAGTTGCAATTTAGCAGGAGAAAACAATAGAATTTTGTGTGTGATACTGCTTCGAATTAAGGCAAGATCGATAACACAATAGAAAACAAAAGGATTCGGGTGTAGTAATGCTGAATATGTCAAATATTAGCCCGAGGGTAGGAATATTTGCCTGCGGTTTAATTTGTTTGGGTTGTTGTGAGTTGTCATTAGGAGCCGACCATTTAACTTTTGAGAGGGTTATGGGTGATTTGGTTTGTGTAAGACTTTTTTTTCCCCCAAATCTCTGGTGGTAGAATGTTTTCATGACGTACAACGGTGTAAGACTCTTATCCCAGCATTACACGCCATGAAACTGGAATTTTTTTTGCTAGGTATTTCCTTGGCATGAATTTGTTTCCTTCAAAATCAGTCTGCCCCTAGGCTAGGTTTATACTGCGTTGATGTCACATCCTGTTAGTCAGCGCGTCACTAATTGAAATCAGCATGCATGCCTCCTCGGTGAATTTCCATAGCTAACGGTAAACATATATAGCCACTGAACACTCGCATCGTATTTAAACGTCAAAGCAAGCCAAAATGTCAGAACCTGTTATTGACGAGCAATGGCTGAGAAGAAATCCTGAAGTTCAAAACTTGATAGCAAAGTTTCTGAAAGCAAGCGATGATGCTATCCAGCCATTAAAAGAATATGCGAATGCCATTCCAGAGATATGCCAGCAGTTACAAGAATGGATTGATGACCTACAGGTAAAGTGCAAGTAAAGATCCGGCTATGTTGCATTAATTTCGTTTATGAAAAAACGTGTATCGTACAATATTAAGGTGCATCCGTCCCTATAGAGTACTTACTGATGGGTCTTCATAACTCGCCTGAGCTGAAACAAAAGGAAATAAGAGGCAGTTTGTGACTGCATGTGGCTACTGTTTTAGTTCTTTGTAGAATATATTGCAGTAAAAAAGGAATGTATAAAATGAACAATTCAACTTTAGTTAACGCCAAAATTGAGAAAAAAGGATGGCCTGGTTTGAACAGAGTTTGTTAGTATTTCACTTCAGATTAAATAGCAGTTATTTAGGTATACATAAAAAAAAGAGACAAATAAGCAAACAAAACAAAACAAAGCAAAAACGAAAAAAAAAAAGGAAAGACGGAGAGAAAAAAGAGAAGGATTTGAAATCGGCACCTTCTGCACCACGCGACTTCACCTTACCACTACTCCACTGACCAAGGATGATTAGGTAACGTTGCGGAAAGTTTTAAATTTAACGCCTTTTCCATGGAACTTCCGTCGACAAACGCCGTTCAAAGTCTATCGAGCCTTTGACAGGGAAACAACCAGGCTATTGACAGGAAAAAAAAAAACAGTGTAAACGCATTTCATGGTAATGAAAAACGAATGTCATACACAGTGAGTCGATACCACACGTCGGCGAAGTAGGACGCAAAACATGTTTCCGCTGCTATTTTGAAGCTACACAGGTTCTCATAGAATACCATAGCATGACATTTTCTCACTTTCATATCACTTTCCATGTACCCTGCGAGCAGAGGCTACATTTTCGCGGTATGAGCTGGCGTGCGAAAGTGTTCAAAACTTTACAAATTTTCCGAGACTTCTAGGTAAACAGGGTAGCCATGTTTTGCTGCTTTGTTCTTGCGTGTTTTGCGAGCGCTTTCAGTTTCAGGATACGCGGCATTTATTGTACAATTTTGTTTGAGTCTTTCCCTGAAATTCTAAGAACGCAGTTTTTTTCCGTCGAAAGGCGCTTCTTTGAATTTTTTCAAGCAACGTTCAAAGATGGTAACAGTAATCCGAGGTTAGAAATATTTGCCTGCGCTTTGTTTGGGGTTATTTGGAGTATGATTGCGTAGCGACTTTATAATCTTGTCGCGCGCGAAGCGTGCGCGCAGTCTGCTAGCCGCTCGTGGTCTTAGCCAGCTGCGAGGCTTCACAAATATGCTTGGTATCCGCCAGTGACGTCATGGAGCGTTTTGCGTTTCCAGACAACATAGACTTCGCCGCCGATGACCAAGGCGCATTTTGATGTGTTTATTCATCGTCTGTGAAACAAAGTTTACCATCGGTGAATTGCGAACAATTTCCCATGCAAATGACACACAAACACAACAAGTGGCTCCAAATCCTCGCCCAGGAAGATTTTCCACCGAAACTCCTCTGGAGCGAGAACGCCGACTTCAAATTCAGCGTAAACAACGAAGGAGAAGACGTCAGCAAGAAACTGCGGAGCAGAAGGAACATCGCTCAGCACAGCGAAGGCAACGCCGACAACAAGAGACAGAGAAACAGGAGATTGGAATCAGAGGCATTATGATCGTTTTACACTGTCGAAAAGCCAGATTGCTTAGTTTGCAGGTTTCCCCGCCGATATATAGATCAAAGTCTGCAGTTTCAGCTCTGTATAGAGTACCGAAGTGATGACGTCATAAAAATGAAATTTGTGAAATTATGGGATTTGTTAAGCTATTCTGAAAGAACAACGTCCAAGACGCCTACTCGCCAAAAATTAGCAATTCGGGGCAAATTGTCTCTGAGATATTAGCCCAGTTATGCTTTGAACGATTCCATGGACAAATCCTTCTAAATTTGGCTTGGTTCAGAGACAATTAGGAACCAAATTGCTAATTTTTGGCGAGTAGGCGTCTTGGACGTTGTTCTTTCAGAATAGCTTAACAAATCCCATAATTTCACAAATTTCATTTTTTATGACGTCACACTTCGGTACTCTAACGGCCCCGGCGAAGAATAATAATTTTCAGGCGAACTGCACTGGGCCATATTTGTTCTTTGTTTTTTTCTTTTTCTAGAGTGTTCACAGTCCTCTATTTTTCCGTAAGATCATCGAGATCGAGAGCTTTGCGTTACGGGCTGCCATCTTGCATGAGTGTCAAAACTACTAAGGGGGCGGGGGGCGGTTTGGGAGGAAGTGAGAAAAATAGAGGGTCCCTCTATTTTTCTCGCCCCCCCTCCCCCCCGAACTATGATCCCCGACGCCCGCTCCCTCGGTACATTTGAAAATCAAGAAAGCCGTGACGGTAAGACGCGGTATATCTAAACGATCTCACGAAAAAATAGGGGACTGTGAACAGTCTATTCTTTTTCTAAATCCGGATGCAGAAAAAATGCTAAATCTGCTTTTCAATACGCTGTTAACAATAAAACCGCATAATATGCAAAAAAGAAGAAGAAGAAAAGAAAGAACAACTTGGTGGACCTTTAAGACGATATTCGCGGTTGGTCACCCATCCAGTTCGTAACCCCGACCGGCAGGGCTTAACTTGTGTGCCGGTACCACACCGAGTTTCGCGAGGGTTATTGCGAGATACGTATTTCTAGTTAATTAGGGCATGTTTACATTTCAGCATGAGTCAGCAGATTTGCATCAGTTACTGAAATCATAAAATATGTCGAAAAGCTACTACTATTCACCTGTTTATGTTGCCAGGCTCGAACGACTGATTTTAAACAACGCTTTAATATGCTGGAAGTAATGGACCCAAAGTCCAGACAGTTACAGTGTTTTTTAACCCTTTCCGCACTTTTTAAAACCTTTTACATGTCGCACGCTGTCGAAGATCTTACAAGTCACGTGACACAGGTCACGAGTTCTCTAAATTGCAATTACGTCATCTCACACACTCCCCGACTTTAAAAATGTCCTCTGTGACATTTGTTACAATGTTCAGTGGAGTTCTCGCCTCCCAACAAATCTCATGCATTACTCCGGTATTTTATACAACAAAACTTATGCAAATACGTAATCAAAACCTATCCCTGTTCGCACGTGATTCAATAAATGACTAGGCACAGTCATAGTTCCATGATAACAATATCATTCATTCGCCTGTTTGAAAGGCACAACAGCACAAAAGGCAGGTAATTAAATAATCAGTTCAACAACAACGTCAATGAGAGTCTTGGGCAGTCAATATGTGCATGCAAATTACACATGAATCATCTGTATACAGGGTGGGTATGCCAGAGGGCCATAATATGGTTGTGCAGGGTACTGAAACATAGGTTGTATCCAGGGTGATTGGAATGGTTGACAGCACCATCCAGGGACAGGGTTTGAAGCGGCCCGGACACCACAGATAGTTGGCTCTCCCAGTGTATCGTATGTAAACATTCTTGGCGGATGACGGACACGCTGGGGACGACTTTGTGCCAGGTCTGGTTCCGGTTGTTCCAATTCCGGTTCTGATAGAAATTCTGGCTCTTGCCCAGGACCCGGATCCTCTGGCACTGACACATGTGAGGTGTCTTGATTCTCAGCAGAGTCAGAGTGATTCACATCTGTTGGTTCATGGTCATTTACAGACTGCAGCTCATTAGACGGGGTCTGGACATCAGTGTCTATTGGTACATGTTGACCAGAGGCAGTGCTGGTTTCAGGGTTGACTCTTTCCACCGGACAAGACAATCCGTCAAGTTCCATTGGTGAATGTGTTAGGTGTTCAGCATCATCCGTCTCGCTATCCGTACTTGTCTGTAATGCATCACGCGTTTGCCTTGCGATCCTAGATCCACGCCGAGTCTTGTTAATTGTTCGATGTTCTTGCTCTGGAGTTACCGGTAGAAAGTCACATGGAAGTAGCAGGTTTCTGTGCAGAACGCGATGCTTTTTGTTTCCTCCTTCAGTCTTCACTTCGTAGACAGGATTGTCTCCTTTTCGTTCTACCACAACGTGAATCTGATCTTCCCAGTAAGCCCGCAATTTACCAGGTCCCCACGCTCTGACAGGTTTCGGACGAGAACTCTGTCCCCAGGTTCCAGGTTTGTATAGTGTGCCTTGCGATCTTGAAACTGTTTCCCCTTAGCGGATGACATGCGGGATTTCTCTGCAGCTAATGAGTACGCCTCCGTCATAGCAGACTTCCATCTTTTGACATAGGTGATGTGGTTTCCTGTCATTGACCCCGGTGATGTACCCAGGATGATATCAATTGGCAAACGTGGCGAGCGTCCAAAGAGGAGGTAAAATGGTGAATACCCAGTGGATTCACTCTTGGTGCAATTGTATGCGTGAACAACCTTGGGCAAAAGCTCATGCCACTTACTCTTCTTTTCTTCGGGTAGAGTTCTTAGCATGGACAGTAATGTTTGGTTAAATCTTTCTGCTTTACCGTTGCATTGAGGGTGGTAGGGCGTAGTCCTTGAACGGATCATCCCGCACAACTGCTGTAGCTGGTGAAACAACTTGTTCTCGAACTCCCTTCCCTGGTCATGCAGAATACGCGCCGGAAATCCAAAACGGAGCATAAAATCATTGTACAGCTTGTCGGCTGCTGTACGGGCTGACTTGTTTCTTGTGGGGTACGCTTGTGCGAATCGTGTGAAGTGATCAACGATGACCAGAATGTATTCGTGACCGCCGGAGCTTCTTTCCAGGTGCAGATAGTCTATGGATATTAACTCAAACGGTGCATTTGTGACAATAGGTTGGAGAGGAGCACGAGTGGAGATATTTGGTCGCCTTTGCTTCAGACAACTGCACACCCGAGTCACAAAGTGAGTAATGTCACGCTGCATGTAGGGCCAGTAAAACCTCTCACGAGCTAATTGTAGCACTCTCTCCACCCCCAAATGACCCATCTCCTGATGTAACTCCTTGTACACCAATGAGTGGAATGTCTTCGGCAGCACCAACTGTAAATACTCTCCACACTTTCTTCTCAAAAGCCCATCTTTTCCAACCTCCAACTTTGGCCATTCACGCAGCAACTTTCTGGTGTACAGGCGTTCTTTACAAATTTCATGGGCTGCCGGTTTGTGTCCATTTAATTTGTATGCCAACACTCTGCCAATACTTGGATCTCGCTGCTGACTTTCCAGAATAACGCGGGGCTCAATCTTGTCATATTTACTGAAATCGAGAAGATCAGAATCAAAGTTCAACATCTCAGTCCTGTCACTGACCGCGGTTATCCAAACCGTCCCACCATCCTGTAGTGCCATTATACCAGACAATGTCGCACTGATCACCTCCTGCGATGTCTCCTGGGTACAGCTAGGGATGTACTGGTTGATATCAAAGGAAATCTTGACAATGTGTCAGCATCCTTGTTCACTTTACCGGGCCGATACTTGATATCAAAATTGTAATCTGCAAGTTCTGACACCCAGCGATGTCCGGTTGAATTAAGTTTAGCAGTGGACAAAACATAGGTTAGGGGGTTGTTGTCAGTGTAAACTGTAAATGATGGCGCATAGTACAAGTAATCCCTAAACTGTTCACAGATGGCCCATTTCAAAGCTAGAAACTCCAATTTCCCAGAGTGAAGGTGGTAGTTTCTCTCAGCGGGGGTAAGGGTCCTGGATCCGTATCCTATTACACGCATGATTCCAGACTGGCGCTGATAAAGTACTGCGCCAAGGCCGTCGTTCGACGCATCTGTGTGCAGAACAAATGGAAGGCTATAATCCGGGTATCCGAGGATTGGCGGGTTAACAAGACAGTCCAAAAGTCTCTCCAACGCCCCTTGGTGTTCCTGTGTCCAATAGATGGTACGGTTAGATTGTGCTTGTGTCCCATGTCCTTTCTGACCACGCCTTGCTGTTTCCATCGGAGGTCTCTTACCATTAATCTCTGGTGTTTTCAGGAGTTTGAATAGCGGTTGCGCAACCCTCGAGAAGTCCTGGATGTACCTGCGGTAGTATCCCAACAAGCCCAAGAGTTTCGGACGTCTCCAACCGTTTTCGGACTAGTTTCTTTCAGTGCAAGAACCGCTTTGGTGTTTGAAGGATCAACTCGATATCCATCTGCCGATACAACTCTGCCCAGATAATTAACCTCTCTCTGAAACAACTTGCACTTTTTGGCTTTAAGCTTTATTCCATGTGAACGCAGCCTCCGCAAAACTGTTCGTAAATTTTCTACGTGTTCGTCGAAAGTCTTACTAAAGACAATCACATCGTCCAGGTAAGGCACACAAATATTATCCCTGAGTCCGTCTAGACAGTTTTCCATGTATCTTTGAAATTCTGCCGGAGCGTTCCTGAGACCGAACGGGATCCGAACCCACTCGTAAAGACCCCAAGGCGTCACAAATGCAGTCATATGTTGGCACTGAGGGTTAACAAATCCCTGGTGGTAAGCCTTGCCTTGGTCTAAAAGAGAAAACCACTTGTTTCCCCCCAAATTCTCGATCGTCGTTTGTACACGTGGAAGTGGGTGTCGGTCGGGTTCTGTTCTCTTGTTCAGCTCACGAAAGTCCACACATAGTCGCAGAGAACCATCCTTTTTCCTAACACATACCACTGGTGACGAGTATGCCGAACGAGACTTCCGCACCCATCCACGATTGAGTAAATCTTCAACATATTGTTTAACTTCTGGGTACAAGGGCTTTGGCACTGCTGTGTAGTTCTTCTGAACTGGACGACTGTCTGACAAGTTAATATTGAGCTGTAGACCTTCTGCGCACCCTACATCCTCATCATTTTTCGAAAAGGAGTCTGCTTCCTCTCTTAACATGTTCAATACTACAGTTTTCTGATCTCTTGACAGGTCTCCTAAATCCACATCTGGAAGTGGATTACTAGTCTCACTTTGACATCCCTGCATAACAGGCGCTTGAGGTTTCCTTCTCTGCTGTTCATCCTCTGCCAATAACTTGTCTGCATGAAGAACACAGTCTGCTGAACTTTCCTCCTCCTCTCTCTTCCGTACTTCAAGCGGTGTTACGGATTTAATTAGTTCAAGTTTGCCTAATACCGTCCTGTTTTTCAAGATGATGTCATGGTCTGTGATATTTCTCACTTGAATGCCAACTCGTGATGAAGCGCCACCTCTGAGCGTTACTAATGTTTCTGGGACTTCAAGCCCTGATGGCCAAGGTGACTCAACATCTGGTTCGAACAATACTGGAAATCTTGATTCGATTGGGCCAGTATTCGCGGAGCAAGTGACTACCATTGTCTCATTCTTCGGAACTAACACATCTCTTTTCGTTACTTTCACGCTACACAGTTCACTTGGAGTGGTTGTCCTAATGAGATTAATCAAAGCTTCAACATTCTCTTGCTTTGCATTCGGAAGGCTAGAGTTAAGGGCGCTGAGTAGTGTCTCTTCATGGCTGTTACGAAAATGACTATCCGGGTTTTAACAATTTCTTCAATGACATTGTATCCGACAATAGGGTGGTCCAAAGGATCCGTAGAAATCAGGAAGGGTACTGACATACCAGGTTTGTCGTCCGAGGTCGCAAGTTTGAATGAAACTTCAATCCAGCCTTCATATGGGATTTCACTACCATTGGCAGCTTTCAGATCAAGTCCTTTATCTAACAGTTCGTTAATTTGGCGTCTCTCAGCTGTGGGCAGGTTCTGAGCAACCCAATCCTTAGAAACAATAGAAACTTGGGCACCGGTGTCCCACAGAGCTTCAGTCTGAACATTGTTCATAACACACTGAACCATACATCTCTTTCCCACCAATTTAACTACTTTGGCGTGTTGATTCGGTGTTAGGTGACTAACATACATGCCATCGCCAGTAACATCCTTTCTCTCCTGGTTTGATAGATACTTGATGGCGCTACACAGTTGCTTATGCCTCCTCCAGTGGGCTCTTTGGCATTTCTGAGAACAGTAGTGCACCGAATGACAACAAGAACATTGCTTTAGAGATACCCCTTTCCTGCCACAGTTGACACAAACATGGGACTGTTTTATGTGGTCAACAGCTACTCCCTGTCCCGCGGTTGCAGCCTCCTTCGGTTTCCCTGATGGGTAGTTCCTGCCACACCCCTACGACACCCTCGTGCAAAATGGTCACTTGAACCACAGCGGAAACAGTGGTCACAGAAATATTGGTTGGCCCTTTGGCACGCTTCGCAGAGCCGTCTCCTTTGGTTGTCATATGGATACGTGTATCGAGCCCTTTCTCTTTCAGGTGCATTCTGGGAACCTAGAGCTTCTTTCAGGACAGCAATATCCGATTGAACAGCCTCCAAGGTGACCATGAGTCTGTCAGGCCTGTCAGGTTTCGGTTCCTTTTTCGTGCCAGCCTTCTTTGATTGTCGCTGACCTCCTGGTTCGACCTTTTCACCGTCTGCTTCCAAGACATTCACCCTTAGGTTCTTGTAGTTAGAAGCGCCAAGCTTTCCCCTCCGCTCAGACTCTTCAGAAACAGCCACATTGATTTGTTCCATCAATTCTTCGTCAGTAATCTCTGCTTTCTGGAGGAACGGTCGCAGTTTGTTTCGGACAGCTTCATCCTGCAGGCCGGTCTCTACAGCATGTAGAAACAGGGGGTGTACTAGAGAAGGCTCATATTTCACGGTGCCACTCCCAGCTTGGGATGCAAAGAGAACCTGCTGCCTTATATCGAGGGCCCGGATTAAGAAGTCTTGGGGAGTTTCCTTTGGTGACTGGCACATGGTTGTTAGTTCTTGGTATAGTTCCGTGCCCGACTTCTGTTTGTAATGGGCTCGTAACATTTGTCTTAATTTCGGCAGGGTAAGTTCCTTCATGGTTTCTAAGTATGACCTTAACTTTAAGCTGGGGCTGATAGCACGGATAACACCGTCAATAATCTCCCGTTCTTTGTATGCTTTCTCTAGCCCTGTATCAATCTGGCGAATTAAACTGACGAAGGACAACCGGTCCTTCTGTTCCTCCCCTCAATGACACCCACAATCTTAAAATCTCTCCGAAGAGCAGTTTTTACATCTACAAGTGACACTACGCTACCTTCCTTTGGCTTTGAAGTTGTAGCAGCTGGCGTAGTCGATTTTTCGTCCTCGAATTTTACCGATGCCTCCTCCATTTTCTTTTTGCAAGACGCCATCATTGCCTCGAATTGTTTACGTAGAGTTTCGTATTCCGTCATTAGTGCTTTCACCGATTCTTTGTTTTGATCCTCGCTGTTCGATGATTCTTCGAGTGGTGGTGGTGTCCCAGAGATAAAATTCTGGAGTGCTGTGAGATACTCAGTCTTGTCTTCGGCTTTTCCAAGCTCATCCTCGACTTTCGAACGAACGATCCGTGACATGGCAAGCTTACTTTTCCCTTTGTATTCCTTTGATTCCAGGCCCACGTGCTCCGCTAGCTGCTCCATTTCCGATATCGGGAGCTTACAAATTCCTCCCTCAACTTGAAGTTGCAGTTCTTCGAGCTCTGAATTCATCTTGGTTGTTTCGACTACCGTAAGACCTTTCTTGTCACAGAATCAACAACATATATTCCACCGCAGAAGATGATACACAAGCCAAGCAGTCGATCGGTAATTTCCTTCGATCACATCTGTTTGTGAGTACGAATTTCCACACGAACTGTTCGTCCTGGCAGGGTCGCCAAAATGTTGCCAGGCTCGAACGACTGATTTTAAACAACGCTTTAATATGCTGGAAGTAATGGACCCAAAGTCCAGACAGTTACAGTGTTTTTTAACCCTTTCCGCACTTTTTAAAACCTTTTACATGTCGCACGCTGTCGAAGATCTTACAAGTCACGTGACACAGGTCACGAGTTCTCTAAATTGCAATTACGTCATCTCACATTTAGTTTTTTCTAGAACCTTATGTCAAACGGTATACAAGTTCCAAGCGAGTTCTTTTGACGAACTAAGTTTTTTCCCACGAACTAGAGTGCTGTCTTTAGTCAAGTGTGCCGAAGGTCGATTTTCAAGTTCTATGTTGACAAGTTGGCGGAAGCCGTAACATATCTGAAGTTCAAGTGAGAGTTTTTTATTATTGGCAGAGGCTGTTTAGTTTTCCTTAAGTTGCTGTGTTTTAAAGCTCTCTAAAGACTATGTTCCTTTGGTACTAAACTTGCTTGTGTTAATCCGACATCCCTGCGTACTTATAGTCAGTGAATAATTATCCTCAAAACCTTCGAACTCGTAACATTGAGTTTTAGCCAATTCCATGCTCAACGTAATTGACTCCTTACCCATGCCTTACATATCTTTAATCAGTATATGAGACTGCTATGCTGTTTTTGAAGCCTGATGTAAGAAAAATAGAGAATTCTTTTTTCACTGTTTGTTTTGTTAGACTTGTTATTCACCGCCAGTAACCTCATATTTGGATTAGGTCTAAACATTTAGACCCAAGTCAAATTTAGGATTTGTATGGAGTCATCAGAGTATAACTGGGCTAATATCTCAGAGATAATTTGCCCCAAAATGCTAGGTTTTGGCAAGTAGGCCTCTTGGATGTTGCTCTTTTCAGAATATCCTGACAAATCCCATAATTTCACAAATTAACACCTTACTCTTACCATATTTCATTTCTTACTATTCCTCCGCGTTTACAATTAATCAGTTCTACAACTACGACACCGAAGTGTACGCTCCATAGCGTCTGGTTAGGTTTAAAACGTCAATTTCAGACCATTCTGGCATCAAACGAGTTATACAGAGAATGGTTTTTGACTGAAGTAATCATAAATAGCGACTTTTGAGTGTTTTGTGGAGATAGTCTAAGGAATGATGGCCTTCTGAAAGTTAATTATCCTTCTCGATCTGCATAAATCTTTTCAAATCATAGGAAAGCCGAATTCAATGATTTTTTTTTTTATTTTTTCAAAATGTTTCTAAGTTCTTAATAACATCCTCCTCTTAGACTTTCTTCTACACTTTGGCCTAATTTTCGGCACGGTTTTAGGATATAAACAGTATTGCTTCATTTAAGCTGTTTTTGATTGCTTGGCTGCAGGAATATTGCACTTTTTCGGGCAGTTCAGTGGTTAGCTTGAAGCCCTCACCTTGGCCAAAATACACACAGTTGGGAACTATTTTCCAAAAAATATCATTTCTACTTTCAAACTTTTTTTCTTCTTCAAATATGTTCTTTATTAGAGTGTTCTTAGCAAATACCTGAATAAAAAATCGGGGCTCACCGTGCTCGTTTAAGAGAAAAGGAGAATTAATTTCGCTATCGAGCTTAGTTTGAGGGAAATCTCTTACGTTTTACACGTGCACGCGCTCATGTGCGCGCGTTAATGACGCGATAATCGTGCGCAGTAGGGATGCGCAATGCAATACTAAGTAATAACCTTAATTGTTAATACTAAGTAATTACCTTAATCAAAACTATAACAAAATTCTCGAACGTGATTGGCTATCAGCAGCCTGATTTGAGCATTAATCGGATAGCTGTACACGTCATGCTTGTAATTGGACAGTACGCGTCATTTTGCGCGCGCTGTTGCGGTGAACTTTTTGAGTAAACTGGTGGGTTTTTCAGCATTCATATGGACGTTTTGTAATCGTTCAGCGCTCAATCGATGCTTTGTTCGTTTCTCGAATTTTGTCATAGTTTTGATTAATTGGTAACAGGACAACGTGTTGTCCAATTCGGTCTGTAATCATACTTGTGATTAACAAATCGGACTCCCGCTTCGCGGTCGTCCGATTTTGTTAATCACTAGTATGATTACAGACCGAATTGGACTCCACTCAGTCCTATTACCATTATTAATCGTATCTATAACAAAATTCTTGATCGTGATTGGTTCTCCGCGCGCCTATTTGTCACGTAATCGGCGCGTGATCACGTGGGTGTCCAATTACAGCTGTCCGAGTAATTGGATACCCACGTGATTTTCACGTCAATAACGCCGCTTTAATGGCTTCCTTAGCAATGTTTTCTACAGTTTTCAAAATTTAGGAAAAGCGCTACAGACGCTTTCGCTCAAAAGAAGTTCTCAAAAGACATTTTTAATTCCGAATTTGTTATAGATACGATTAATTAGTAATTGGACTTCGTGTCGTACAAGTTAGGGAGTAATCGTGCTTGTAATTTCAAATCGGCCTCGCGCTTCGCGCTCGTCCGATTTTGAAATTACTCGCGCGATTACTCCCTGAATTGTACCCCACTCGGTCCAATTACTATTGCTAATTGTTAAATAGAAACCTCGAGCTTCCCCTCTGATAGAAGGCCACTCCATCCAATAAAATAACATCCACGGTATGTTATTTCAAAAATATTCAACACGGAGAAAAAGTTCTGTCAATAAGACTGACGTGTTGTTTATACAGCAGGTGATAAGTTGTCTTAAAGACTTCCTGAGCGCACAGAACTTGAAGGTTTAAATTATTTATCTTGGCTAATGCAAACTACTCACTAATTATCAAAAAAAAAAAAAAGAAATAAGAAAATTGTTAAAACGGTTTCAATTTTCCCGAGTTACAAACTGAATAACAAGGCAAACGACCTTTCAAATGAACAAAATTTGCCGTAATTGACAGACAATTTTGTATGAGAAGCATAAATTGAACTTCTTATTAAAAGAGAACGGTTTACCTACCATTTCAAACACACGGGAAGTAACATTGTAAAAATTAAATTAAAATTAGAAAAGATTGGCCGGTTTTAAATAGAAAGATCAGTTTCTTCTGTATTTTTCCATAGAACTGTTTCTAGGCAGTAGACAGTTGTTCTGTAGTTTGCATGATTGAAAATGTTAAGCTAATGAAATATCCTTCTCGGATAATTCACGATTTGTAAACAATGAAACTGGTACTTGAAGCCGCAAACAGTGTACAATAAAGAGCATTGCAACACGGGCCCCTACATTTTCAGTTTTTACAATAAATTTTAAACCTACATTACAACGATGTTCTTTAGCACATCGCAACTTAACACAAGTTACATTTTTGTTTAAGCAACTTTAAATACAGCAATATTTGAAGCATTACCGTTGTCAAGAAAGAAGCACGTATCATATAACGCAGAACTGGCTAAATTAACACGATAAACAGCAAAGCGCTTCTCTGATTGTCTCCTTTACTGCTTGCTTCACTTCGCTGATCTTCCAGCAGTAAAGAAATGGGTTTAACGTTGAGTTCAAGTAAATTAAAGACATTTCAAGTCCCAAAATCAGAAAACTGGATGAAGATGATTTACCATAACTAAATAAAGCTCTCACTATACCATATGGTAAATAACAAGCAACTAATGTACGCTGCACCCACAGTGCACTAGACACTGCTTTTCTGTATCGCTGTATGTTCAGTGGAGCAGGTTGGCTTGGTTGTTCCTGTTGGACATGGCCCTGGACTTGTTTCTGATGATGGCGGAGTTTGAGGAAAATCTTTGTGTACGAGGCAATTGAGATTACTAGACACAATGGTATAACTAAATAGCCATACCATATAGTTACAAGGTGATTTCCAATGAATGATATTGAAGCAACAGCGGACATAATCCAAACGATAACTACAATCAAATAAGTTCGCATTAAAGTTACAACTTGTCTATATCTCAGCCTTAACAATAGGGCGAGAAGTCTGTCCACACCAATTGCACTCATTGTAAGCAAAGATACTGAACACAAAGTATAACTGACAATAAAAAACGAGATATATGAGTAGCGACAAAGATTCCGTCGTTCGTAAGCCAGAGACATCCAATAGACAACACTGAGAGGCTCTGTAATAAGACCAACGCAGAGATCAGTTGTGGCCAGACATCTAAACAAAAGTTTGGACGGCGGATGAAGGGAAGACACCCTGCGAAGGGCAACGAGGATCAGAATATTGCCAAGAACTGCAGTGATGGACAGAAAAATGTTGAACGCTACAAGATATATTAACTCTTTCTGTATTTCTCTAGCCCAGGTGAATGAACATAGAACTTGTAAACTGAATGCTTCATTTTTTTTCGACAACGCGAGAATCTGACGACTCGTCAGAAAGCAACGGAGATCAAATAAGCTTCAACCTCGTGAGCTGAATTTTAATTAATACCTACTAATGACACCAAATTAAATTAACATCTGCTTACAGCTGTTGTATATTGTCTATGTCACGTTTTAATGCAAACTGGCATCTTTTCCGAGTTGATTGTATTTCTACATTTGAAATGAAACAAAAATTATCAGAAGTTATTGGCTTTAGGCTGCCCAGGCTTAGGCTCGATATCTTGCGTTATAGCTTAATATGATAAGCAACAACATTATGCCGCGGCTTGAATTAAGGTGATTCCTTAGAAATAAAATTTACCGATGAATTTTTTTAAACTTTTTCTGAATGTTCCCTACAAAGCACTGTTTCGAAAAATAAATTAAAAAAGATAGGTCACCATCCTCGCAAAAGAGAGATGATGGGCCAATCTTGCCCCATTTATGCTTGTACTCGTGCTAATCTCGCGCGTTATTCATTGCTCAACGTTACATTTTGCGGTAGCTGAAAGTACAGTTTATCGAAGTAACACTCGGAAGAAAACTTGACAGGAAGAAAGTATGGAACATATGAAACAATATCATAAAATTTGTGGAAAAAATTGCATCATTTAAAACTCTTTTAGATTAAAGAGGATAGCATGGGCGCTATTATTATGCAATAAAAAAATTTAGGTCACCATGCTCGTTTAAGAGAAAGCGAGCTTTTATTTCGCTGTCAAGCCTTGCTTGTGGGAAATTTCTTACGTTTTGCATGTGCACGCGCTCATTTGCGCGTGCTAATGACGCAAAAATCGTGCACAGTAGGGATGCGCAATGCAATGCTGAGGAATCACCTTCATTAAAAGATAAAGTCGAGCTTCACTTTGCCAGCTGACAAATTCATAAAACACGAACACCTCTATTGTATAGACAGTTCAAACCACTGTTCATATATGCCGTCTACTATTTTATATAACCCAAGTTATTCTAGCATTTTGATTGGTTCTATTAGAGGACGGATGCACGATTGACGTCATCATTACAGAGTTTTTGTCTCTGTGTTTTAAAATGGTGGAAAGTTTCGAGAATTTAGATAATAATTTACGTGGTTGGGCAAAAGATAAGGTACAAAAAAAGTCTGGTGGTTGCAAAATCGTTTGGCGCGAAAACAAACTCTTGTAAATTGAAAATCTGCGGCTGCCGGAATAATATTATCGAGATAACTAAATTATAGATTATTTTATAATGAATCGATTGACTTTTCTAGTACTCTCGCGCAACATAATGTGAAAAATAGATAAATAAATAAAAGACAAAAAAAAAAACTAATAAAGAAAGAGAGAGAGGATTGATTCTCCAATCAAAGCAAGTACCCCTTATAAATTAAAGATGATTGTCTGAATGGTTACTCGACAGCAGAGCTGGATCTTCAGAAAGAGTGGTCCTATTTTTTCGTCGGTACCTGCGACTTAAGTTTTAAAGGTTGCGATCAAAAAGATAATAGAAGTGCTCGGCCCAAAAGTACTTACGTCTGGATCTTTTTCAGGCTTTTTTGTGGCTGGTTAAGTTGCTTCGTCAACTGCGATGATCACTCTCACATTAAGTAATTGCACATCCGCATTTCAAATATGTGGTGTGTCATACATTCTCTATCGCACATTCACCCATTACAAGTGACCGTCTCTCCCAGTTGGCTTGTTATCTCAGTTGGTAGAGCAATGTGCAACGCGAAGGTACTGTCATGGGTTGGAGTCCCCTTCAAGCCTGGAGTTTCCAGGCTTTTTGGCAACTGCGTGAGTTGCTTCATTAAGTGCATTGACCACTCTTCGAACTTCAAATCTTTAGTAGTGTTGTTTGGAGTGATCATATGTGGTTCACAGATTTGAATCAATGTATCGCTTGATATTGATAACGAGATGTGCCAAGCAATTTTGGCCAGCTTCAGGATCGTGGCTTGAATTCTCTCCGATTACCGTACAGATTGAATGTGGTAAATCGTGGGTTATAAAGTTTGAAATGGAGGCGAAATAAAGTTTGCACCAACAGCTTGTAGTTAAATTCAAACCAAACCTTTGGAGACGGGCCGAGTTTGTTTGAGTTACAGGATGTTCGAGCTACAGTGGCTTTAAGACCCCAGGGTGTTATTAGAGTTTTCACTTCAGGCCCGTAGCCAGGATTTTTTACGGGTGGGTGCGATCAGTTGATTATACGGACCAACGAGCGCCGGAGGCGCTCTTTACTAGGGGGGTCCGGGGGCATGCCCCCCCGGGAAATTTTGAAAATTAAGTTGTCTGAGACTGCATTTCGTGCGTTTTGAAGGTCAGTATGATAGCAATATAGGTCGCTAAAAGCGAACCTAAAAACGTGGATATTTGTCAAATTTTGAACTTCAAAATTGATTTTTTTTGGCAAAGAGAATGCTTTACGTATGTATTTTACAATGTAGAGAATAACAATGCCAATGTCACTATTTAAAAATAACAAAAATAGAAATAAAGTTGTAAATCCGTATTGTTCACTCGGCTGGCTGCTGATCATCACGATCTTTTTTGGTATATTTATTTAATTTTTACTACGCAATCAGTGAATTAGAACAGAACAAACAGAACAACACTATTATTTTTTTTTAGTATTTATTTTTTTAACAAAAAAGTGGACCTCAGCAGTCTGCGGGGGGGTGCGGGCGCACCCATCGCACCCCCCCTCCCTACGGGCCTGCACTTCATCACATTTATCAGCAAAATGATTATGTATACGAGTACTATACGCAAGGGAAATCAAGTTGATAATGTTAGAGAATACATTGCACAACAGTTGTATCTTTATGTGCAGACTTTCAGTTACGTTGAGTTCGTATGTCTTTCGACATGCGTCAAACTAACGCGGATCTCATTGTATTTAGTTCCTGATTCGAATCGAAACAAAAAAAAAAGAAAAAAAAAAAGCGGTTTAATTTTAAATTTACATTGACAATTAGACCAACTATGAAATAAGATGGAAGGTCATGAAACTGGCATCAGCTTATTTGTTATGTGGTCGGTTCTAACTTTTGATTTTAACTACCACCAGACTTGGTTTCGGTCGTCCAACATGCTGGTAAGAGCAACATTACGTTCAAGTGAACTTATAACGGAAAGTGCTAAGATCTAAGATTAACATAAAGGAAACAAACCTCCATCAACGAGGAATCCATATGTCATCAGTATCAAACCTCCTAAGAAAAGACGGGGAGCCATTTTCTGAAAATGAAGAAGGGAGAAAATCGCATCAATGGAAGAGAAGACTGTTTTGCTGCGTCTTCTAAAAAGATGACAACTACCCCACTCAATTTTGAGATTTACCTTTAGTGCAATGGTAAGACCGTCGGTGCCCATTTTGTCTACAGGTTTTTAACCCGACAAAGCCTTTACAATCTAGACTGAAAACGTTTTTTTTTTTTCCTTTCTGGTCACCACGATTTCCAGATCTCAGTAAACGTTTGCAATTTGGAAACAAAACATTTTTTTTGTTTTCTTTAAAGGATTGAAGATCTCAGTAGGCATCGTGAAAAGCTCCTGTAGCTGGGTTTAATGAACTGAAATGAAGCCTGTTCAAATTTTAATCTGAATTCCACAGAGACCTCAGCGCTGTCAGACAACACAGAAGTTACAAAACCGAGACGATTTTTTCATCCTCTTGAAAGTTCTCATTGCAATATGTTGGGGGTGTTTTGCGCAATTTGGTTGACGGAGTTGTCAAATGCATCCCAGCCTACAGAGCTAGGGGCTGTTTAACGAGGACTATACTTCCTTTTGGAATTGAAAACTAGGCTTTTAAATCGTTTTTTCATCAAAGAAGTGTTTGAATAATCTTGACCGGACAAATGACTAGCAAATCAGATGTCGATGCAGTCTCGGTAAAACCAAAGCTATTTTTATTTTGCTCAATTAGTTTTGCTTTGCTCAATTAAGCACGTTTCCACCGGATACTGTTGTATAATAATAATTTAAAAAAAATGCGTGAAGAAACCGAAACTGCATTAAAAAGGTTAAATTTCGGAAATCAATGAAATGTGCTTATTAATGACCACCACCGTAATAGGTTGGTCATCTGCAGACTGGGTGAAGAAAGTTTTAATATAAATAGATAATTCAAATTTCACAAGATGTTGATACGGACATTGAATAGAAGAAGAAACTTGGGGGAAAAAAGCGATCGAGGAAGCAACTATTAAATTTTCGCTACCCAACACTTTTCAAAAAAAAAGTAGGCCATGGTTACTTTACTATGAATATAAATATAAAGTTTCCTGGGAGGTTATTGACAAAGGTCAATGCTCAAGATTCCACAACACAGACAGTGAACCTCACGGAATAGGTTTCTATATGTTATCCTTTAAAAACAATGCCTTTATGTGATTTCAATAGTAAGACATCAAGGGAATTCTTATCATCAAGTGTTATTATATAAACACTTTAAAATATTAACAAATTCTTTTTTGGCGATCAATTTGATAGAGACGGTTCCCAACAATGTTACTTCAACAAAGAAGCTCCTGGAAGGTGTGTCATATTTTCGTTAGCAACCCGTAATCTTCTTTTGCACTTAAAACTACGGATAGAGTTCCAGGACTACCACCTTTGTTAATCAAAAGACAAAAACCAAAAATAACAACCAACCAAACAAACAAAAAACCAAAACGAAGCCAAGCAAAACAAGAACAAAAATTAAAAACCAAAAACAACAAAGAAACAACTTAAATTTAACTTGTTACGATGTTAAAACTTAACTTGTTAACGATGTTAAATTCTCAGTTCGACCCTGTTTATACGGCACGGGGTCGGAGGAAGAGCGTTCTGCTCCAACTTTTCGCTTTTCGTCCAAATTTATCTCACAAATTATTTCTATATTGGACACCATGTAGTCGTAGTACATATACTAATGCATGCCTTTAATTTTGGATCACATGGTTTAGTGTTGTAAGACCTCGTCGTCGAGAGATTCACTATTCACCTAGCGAATGTCTCGAATTT